CGAGGATGCAGCGGAGATGTATATACGTATATATATGTGCGCGATGCATCGGTATTATCGTTCGAAATCCAAAGCGACGGACCGAGCGCCGCAGAATTTTTATTCACGGAGCATCTTTAGAGATACGAGATCAAATTAGATCCAGACGTCAGATCAAAATATACTTTTCTTCGCGCGCGTTCCTCTTCTCTCGATCTTTTTTCCGTACTTTTATTCCATTTTACCGCCGACAGCAAATATCGCGAGATCATGTCACGGTGTAAAACATTATAATAAAAAATTATTATAATTAATAGCGGCAACGAGAGATTACATTTCTGTAAAAAGAATTTTTTTTTTATTATTTTTTTTTATCCTTTTTTACATGTTAATTAATATTTAAAGAGAGAGTTTTGAATGTTGTATAAATTTTTTACATAAATAGAAATATAATTATCATCGAATATTTTGGGAAAATTGCAAAATGTCAATTATTTTAAAACGGTAAAAGAAAGTGTATATTTTACATACAAAGCGTCAGTCACGTACTTATTTATTCATATTTCATTATAACAGAATGAAACAAAAATTTTTAATTATATTTATTTAAATTTGAAATTCACCGCTTCATTATTGCAAAATTTAAAATGTCTCTTATTTACATTATATCTTATCGTTATATAATAGATATATATCTTTAACATACATTTCACAGAGAGACGTACTTTAATAATATTCATCAAATCAAATTACTTTCCGGTAATTAAAAATGAAAGAAACGAAGAGAGAAAGAGAGAGAAATTCGCGAGAAAAGAGGAGAAATGAGGTGATGGAACAAGAAACGAAGTGAGGAAAGGGCGAGACGAAGGTGGAGGCAAGAACGGCTCTCGGAACTGGGGTTCGAAGCTCGGAGATGGAAGGAATATACTCGTAGAATTGCACGTGATGCGAAAATTCGTTTACATGCTGCCGAGACTGGCATCCCTATAATGTCTACCAATGCCGCGCATTCCATTCTGTTTGGATGACGAGTATTCCCGAGACTTTATACGAGCGTACATATCTCGCGTTGCGGATAGATAAAATGCTATGGCAACCTACGCCTATTTTTATGATTTTAACAGCGTCTGGGATACCACATTACTCGTAATTTTTTCCAATTAATTGCATTTTTAAAATAATAAAACGATCTTGGAATATATATATATTTTTTTTTCTATCAATATTTATTTAATTTATTCTGAAAATGTAAAATGTGTTGGGGATCTCTTTGCAAACTCTTTCTCACAATATATGAATAAGTTGAATGAACTTCTCCATTTACATCTCCGTCTTTCCCGACCCTATTTCTCGACTGCAAATGTAATCGAATTTCGCACGAACGTCTAATGGCTGGATTTTGCGGGCTGCGTGACTTCTCGATCGTTCTGTATCGTCCTTCGCGTTCGGGGGATGAATACGAATGGCGAGTCAACGGGGTGTACCTGTTGGTAAGCAGAGACGCAATATGGAATATCGAATGCACTGACTCGGCTGTCTCGGCCAGACATCCACCTCCCTCTCGTAGCCCAGCCACCGGATGCATCAAATGCACCAAATGCAACGCGATAACGTCACTCACAGGGACGTAGGGTCGGTAATTCGGCAACGACGTGAAAGGGACGAGAGTTCGAGGTAGCTCTGTACTCTCCCTGCCTCCCCCTGCGATCGGTCCAATTGGCGAGTAATTTTCGAAATTGGCCTTCCAGAACGACGTCCGCGATCTGTCGATTCGACACACTATAACCACATTCGCAAAAATCCGAGGGTTGGCGAGAATGAATAATCGTTTCATACATCAAACCTAGCATCGCAGAGGGAGGGATGCTCGACAACCGAAAAATAATGATCCATACCGATTTAAAAGCTGGAGATTTCGCATGTTTTCAGCTGCGTTTTCATCATGTCTATGTCAAACTGCAAACAATGTTTTGTATTTCTGTAAAAAAAAAAACTCCCCGTATCCTTAAAATTTTAAATTTATAGACTTAGAAGCTCTATTATCTCGGGCTTTTGATGATTTTAAGATATTTTGTGACGTATAGTCTGCGAAGCTGTCTCAAAGTTTGAATATTCTATATTCCGGGTTACTTATCTCCGCTCTGTCATTCACAGCCACAGGCGAACGTATACCTAGCGAGTTAAATGTCTGATTATCATAAATGTTCGGGCGCGATGATATCGTCGATACACGTATTGGCCATCCCCGGTTCTCGCCTCGGCAGCGAAGAGGTTTGTTTGCGATGAGAACGTGCCGAGAAGCTCGCCGACGAGCTTACCGGAAGTCAAGCCTTAGGAATAACAAAGCGTCAGTACCGTCGTCGCTTCTTACTTCGGTCCCTGATATCCCTCTCTATGCAATGGATTACCTCAGAATTCTTCTCATCCCACATTCTGAGATCCTAAGCTATCATAGTTTCAAAGTATTCACTCTTCCACGGATAATTAAATCTTCTATATATTATAACGATGTAAATATCATGCACATAGATATATTTATCTGTCTGTATTTTATTTATATTTTTATAACGCGTTGTTATATTTTTAATTAAAAAAAAAAATAATTTGTCATAAATTTTAATTACTTAACAATATATATGCAAGTTTTGGATTTTCGAACGACAAATGAACACATTTAACAGATATGATACGTTGTGTACTGTAAAGTCATCAGGCAAATGAGTTTCGTTTAATTCCACTTTGTGACATATAAATCCTTGTGTCCCGAACCTTAGGTCCGAATAAAGGATTATGCTGTGTCGCTCGTAACCCAAACTGGAGCGCGCGTTTCATATAATTACGCTATAATAACCGTCGCAGATGTCGACTCGTTAAATTGTTTAATACATCGCCGCGGAGGATGGCGGGTGAGAATTTCCAGAGTTAATTTCCCAGCTTTCTAAAAACAATTTTAAAGAAGTTTAAAGAAAGTTTCGGTCGATTATATGCTCATTAGAAATTAATAACATCCGCCGGATATACGTTTCACTCACACACACACACACACACACACACTGGAACTGCCTTCGGTTTTATCGATGATTTACTCGTTAGTTTCACCTTTTTTTTTTCGCACGTCGGCAGAGTTTGAAATTTTTGGCACTTCCGCAACTTGACTTCTCTTGACTTTTCTTTATCAAAATCCTATGTAAACTTTTACGCTCCCCTCGCACGGATTCCGGATCCCTTATAATATGGGATTCCGCGTTCGAAGTCTTTGCTTATACATAAAGTTTTCAGCAATTTGAGAATACGAGAATAAAGATGGGAACAGATACAAAAAACCGTGGAATCTTGAGATGGAAACTGTAAGAATGCCTAGGAAAAGTATAAAGCTTAAGAATGTAGGGGGAGCGATATCTTGTTGTTTATATCAGTATCTCGGAGAAATATAGAATAAGAAGAGGAAAAAATTTGAAAAATGCACCAGTTTTTTAGTTCGAAATAATTTTATGCGTAAATTAGTGATATAAGCCTTGATAATTGTTGATACATCGCGGTATCTGTCATCGCGTAGATACACGCGCACACACGTGTGCCCTTAATAATGCGAACGAACAACTAATTAAATAAACCATGTATTCTGATAGCAAATTAAATTAATTATATATATATGATAAATATGACTTCTCCCCTCATATCCGCCAGAACTATTTATATATATATATATTTAAAACCAAAATTTACTATTGTTTAATATTGTATAATACACATCGAATTAAGTCTAACGAAAATAGCTATTGTTTTCACATCGAAATATTAGACAGTTATATACATATTGAAAATTAGATGTCAGTCAGATAGTAAATTTTCTCTCTTTCTAAGAGAGATAATAAACACTTAATAATTTATGATTTTATTTTTAGACTTTATAATTTCCTAAACATACATATTTTAATACAAAGAAATGTTATTTGAGGATTCGCGCTATTAAATCAACATTTTGTTCATTTGTAACATATTGTCAAATGCGTCAATTACCGATAGCAATCGAGAAGATTAAAGTAAACGGAGATCTCCTGTAAAATTGACTTGAGACATCCATATTAAAATCCACAGATATGAATGGGGGCCATAATGTGAGGGATGCGCGAGAGATTTCGCGAGAAAAGTTTTGTCGCGCTACCATTTATTATAATAAACGTCGCGACATCGATAATAACTCGTTCTATAATCTCGCACTCTCGCCGAACGTTTGCGGAGAGACAGGGGGACGGAAGAAAGAGACTCGGCGTTCCCCGGGGGAGCACATACGTCTTCGCTTACGTTGAACGAGTTATTTTATTATCACCTTAAATTCGCCCTCCGCCTATCTCGAAATTTTTCTTTCTCGCGACGATCCATTTTTTTAATAATTTTTTAGAACGTTTCTAAAATCTTTGTAGACTCTTTAGGCAACTTAACTTCCGGAAACAACGAGTGACTATTGTATAAACGCGTCCTTATTGTAGACAATCTGTTTAGAGTTTAAGAAAAAAAATGTCTTTTAACGTTCAAACATTTTCTCGCCTCCCGCTTTACTCTTTCCAAGATCGAAATTTCGACTTTTATTTTCCAACTTCAACTTCCAGATTCCAACTTTCCTTTCCAACTTCGAGCCCCCTTATCTCGAAATTTCAGACTCCTTACTCGTGATTCTCATTTAACATCCTGTATACTCTCAGACTTCAGCTGCTGGTACATCTTATAGTTTAAGCGGCGTGATTGCTGCAAAATTCATCAACTGTTAAATTCCTTAAATTCTTCATCTTATTTCTGACTTACTCCTCTATTTAAGGCTCAAAATCAGAATCGAAAGCTCTCGAGTGTGTGTTCTTTCCGCGAAATTTTTACGTGGAAAGCCGTCGTCGAAAATCGCGGTGGTACGAGACGTTCACCCCCTCGGCGTCGCGCTCTCTCATCCACCCTCTCGGCGCCGCTTCTGCCCTCTTCCGTCGCGACGCTCGCCCACCGCTCGGCGGAGGCGCACCACGTTTACGAAGGGCCAGTACGCCTCGGGCCGCCGGGCGGATCGAACGCGAGAAGTCGAGGCTCTCTACGCCGAGCCGCGTCGTTATCATCGAGTCGCCGATCATCGGATAATTTTCGCGCAAAATCACCAAGATTCTCTTTCTCGCGAGACCCTCGAGAGAGACACGTGTGTTATTCGCGACGTGATTCTGCTCCTCGCGCCAGTGAACTCTGGTTCGTCAACGGGGATAATGAGTAACGTGAATTGTTGATATTGTTGATTTTTCTTGGACGACGAAAAGTCACTTACAATTATATATTCTCCTGGAGGTGGGTTTAAATTATTTGAACTTTGCGTATTGATCTCGGAAAAAATTGAACATTAAATCCTCGGATTGGTTTCTACGAGATTTATCGTGAAAGATAATTTAATTTTGACAATGGATCGTTAGCTATTGAGAAACGATAATATCCGGGCTACACCCTTACCAGGAATCCTCGAAGATGAGTTCGTATTTCTGGGGTTCTGTGTATTCCTAATCCTTAGATCCCTCATCAACCACGGTGTCTGCGGTAGCGACATGATTGGCTCCCGCGTACGATATCCCAGTAATTTCGTATCACAGTAATTTGCGGGATCGTTTCCAGTAAGATTGATCATAAGGGATAATCTGGTTGTTAATACGGCTTATTAGTATCGCGTACGGTGTCATTGGATAAAGATTCGGAAAATATCAATAATATCGAAACTATGTTATCGTTTTGCGGATGGATTTGGATCTATTGTGATTTTTATATTTTCTACTTGTATCTCCGACCGGAGGATCTTTGAAACTTTTACGTATTTGATTCGTATCCTTTAAATATTGGCCGATCGCTCGACTTTACATTGAGTCATTTCTCTCAGTTTCCCTCAAATATTTGCCGACTACCTGCAGCTTTTATATCTTTTCGAATTTTCTCCGAAACTCTTTTTTCAAAGTGCATAATTTTATATCAATCGGTTGTTCTTTATACCTTCAAATATTTCTTTTAAAATTTGTAATCTTAAAAAATTACCATCTTATTTTTTGAATTCAAAAACTTGTTTGCATGATAAATCACGATATAAATTAATGAAGATTTATTTCACGCATTATCTCCTTTCAAAGGTACTTTGACATTTAGATTTCTGATTCTCCAAAAATCCTTGGAATATCGCACTTTAAGACATTAAATATTTAACTTATAAATCTGTTCTCACATCTTCATATAAATTCTTTTTCGTTAGATGTTGACATGAAACATTTTCGCATTCAGATCTTTGATTCTTCAAGTCCATCTGCCTTTAACTCTTAAATCCTTTTACGTTCGATTTGAATTTTGCGTCAACTTTGTATTGTTCCACATACTATGATATATCATCAGTTGTCGATATCGAAATCTTGATATTTCCTGTGTACTTTGACTTTTAAAGTATTTCAATCTCATTGAATCCTGGAATTTTTATATTCTTTTGCGAGCTCGCTTTATCATATATCTTCGCGGAGTCTCCATATTTTATTTTGAGATTGTCGAGAAAGCATGTTTGAAAACTCTAAAATACTCACATTCTATTAAAATATTTCTTTTATATATATTATCATTATTAATAATATATTATTATTAAATGTCTCTCGCGCATATATTCGCGTCACCCTTATTCCTCCTTTGCACATCCTTAGACACGGATGCCCTTGGGAGAATGAACCTCGGATTTTCCCCGCATATAATCTCGCGGTCGGAACACACCCTGATTCGCGCGCTATTCGCCAGGACCCTACTGGTCCTGTCCAGGATTTGGGACGAGCGGTCGCTCGTGACAGTAGAAAAATATCGCGCGCGCCCGACGCTCTCCGCTTTTTCCGCTCGGGGGTTGGCGGGAGGGTTAGTCGTCTGACACTGACACGCCGGTAATGACTTCAAAGAGCCATATGTACGGGGTGGTCCGCGTGAAACGCGGAAACGCTCGCCGCGAATTGCATTTTCGATCTCTCTCCGCGCTCCGTTACGTATGAGGCTTTAAATGTTTCTGCAATCTAATAGCGTATACGATCTTATTTTTTTAACGATCAGTGAAGTTTTTAATTCAAATCCAATTATCTCTCTCTATTTTTGCGACGACGTAATTTATGAATTTTTAGATATATAATTGTATTAATTTACATTATTATATTAATTATTTTTATTAATTAAGGTGGAAGGGAGAAAGAGCGCACACGTTATATATACGCGGAATTAAAATTGCACCGAGGTAGCAAGGATGTTCATTTATAATGCAAAATGCGTTCGTTCCATATGAACATGCTCTATTAAAAAAATCACGCATTATATGGGAGAGGTATTGGTCGCACGCAAAAAAATCTATTATACATTACACGCGGGATATTTTCTACCTCTATTTGACGTTTAAAAACTACGCCCGCAACTGCGAGCCCTTTCGGAAACGCGCTAAAACATTCGTGCACCGCGAAATCATTCTAATGCAATGTAAATATTTTCTCGCACGACGGGAATTGTTTTGCGCGGGGCAAATATTTTTCCGCGCGATGCAATCGTTTTATTACATTTCCCTCTTCTCTCTCTCTCTCTGTCTCTTTATCTATCTCCTTCTCTTTCTCTAGATTTTCCGATCGCGATCGGAAATTTTCAGGTCACGCCGGCATTTCCTGCGTCGGACGCAAGTTGCAGTTTTTTAATTGAAAAACGCGTAATTTGTAATTTCGCACTCGGGTCTATTTTTTATCCCGGGGAAATCCGCAGGAGCGACACCGAAATTACTCTGCAGCTCTTGGCGAGACTCGTCGGAAACTGGGCGCGGATCCCGAACGCGTCGGGATTTTAACGAACACTCTTTTCCCCGGTCCGTCGTCGCGTCGCGTCGAGTTTGATTAGAGCTCGCGGAAGCGGAAATCGCCCGTCGCGATGCGGAAACCGTAAAAATCGCCGTGCTCGTTCTCGCACGATTTTACGGTGACTCGGTTCCGGGCTGAAACCGAGCCGCGCTTAATATCGAGCTTAATTAGTACGGTTGCGTGCCTGCTATCATTCGTTAATAATATAGGGTATATATAGGATACGGCATGCAATTGCACTGAATTTTAAAAACTATAAATAGAGTTTATATACATTTTAATGTCGACATATATATCGATGGCTTTCGCCTTCTAAAGAGATTGAAAATAAAAATAAAGCGAAATAAATTTCAGAAATGCAAGTAAACGATAAAAATTTATTTTTCATACAATACAAATATGTTAAATGTACAGCTGATAATTCGACTTTGAAGGAAACTGGCAAATTTTGAATTGAACATTGCGCTAAAAAAATGTTTTTTAAAGATATTTTCTTAATTTCTTTCTCTCGAGGTGTTGGCTCGCGGATATAATTTATTTATTCATCTCATCTCAGCGGAAACATTCAACAATCGTAGTGACGAAAAGCTCGACGTAACGTCAAGCCGCGATTCGCTTCCGCATTGTAAAGAGAGCGGAGAAAAAAAAAACACAGATGTGAACGCTCGCTCGCGTATACGAGCGTTCTGTCCGCAACCACTTTGATCGATGATCGCCGCGTTCCTGGTGTCGATTCGACCGGATATTCCGACACCAGGATGCGTCCGCGGAAAAACAGACCGGGTTGACAGAAGCTGCTCGTTGGAAGTGTCGATGGACTTTTCCGAACCATCCGATGAGGTTGGCAATTCATTCCAACGTTTTAACAATTTTTTTGAATTCTTGAAAATATATGTTTATATGATATCGACGGTGACAGTTAAGAGACAGTATTATACACGGATGCACACACATTAGCACACATTTAAAACATGTAATATTTCTTTTACACCGAGTATATATCCTGTCAGACTAAAATTGAATTGTAAATAAACTATTGATACAATCTTTTTAAAAATAAATAAATGAATAAATAAACACACTTTAATACACGCTAATTAGAGTACTTGTTACATATGCACCGAGGAGGAACGATTGACAAATAGCTTTGAACTGTCAGAATTTTCCTCCATTATTCGATAGCCGCGAGAGAGCAGAAATCTCGCCGTAGAATTTCTGGTCTCCCGATCAGCCAATGTTCTCAAGAAGGAGTAATTACAAAAGGACGAAGGGGAGGGAAGAAAAAAGAAAAAAGCACATTGTAAGCCCCTTTCCTTCCACCTACCTCCTCTCTTAGATTACGTAGTAATGCGGGAAGTGTCGGGCGGAGAGAGGATGGTTTCAGTCAGGCGTGAATCGCGGTCGGTTCGAACTTTTAATTACGTGATACTCGGGAGGAGGCGCGAGATGGGGAAGGGAAGGGTAGGGGGAAAGGAACAAGGGATCGAAGAGAAAAAGAGGCGGAACAGACTTAAGCAGCACTCGAAACTCCTTCCTAACAAGAACCGGAAATCTCTCGAGGGCCCTCTGAAACTGCCGGTGCACCTATACCTCCCCCTTCTTCTTCTCTCCCCACCCCTCGTCCCTCTCGTACGCCGTTTTTCAATTAATTAGATCGAAGCGAAAGAATGACGTTGTAATTGCAACTGTCATCTGCAGCGGACATAAATCGCGCGCGCGCGCGTATTATGGGTCACGTCGATATAGACATTGCGCCGCAAAACGATATTTCCGTTTTTTTGTTTTTGTTTTTTTTTTTTTTTTCGTTCGCCGACTAACCGACCGCTTGTTGGAGGCAAAAACCGGAAGCGATTATTGCTATTACTTCGTTGTCGGTGGCGGGAGATTTTTATCGATTCGCGGTCAAGGGAGATACGTTTCTCGGAGCTGGTTTCGCGCCTCGGCGAGGAAATCGGGAAATATTCCGAGCATTTTTCCGCGATTATTCGCGAAAACGTGACGTGAAGTTTTCCTTTTCGAATGAGACCGTCGAGATTAGGATCGTGAAAATTTTTATTCTAAATTGATGAGACGCTCGTTCTCGGGGAAAAAAAAATTATTTACGTACTCGTACGCAAGAAGGTGAAGCCCTTTCGCGCTTTTAGAGTAAAAAGAATCATTGAAAAAAAAGTCGGAGACTCCCATCTATCCTCGATGCGGAAAACGTGGTAGCGATAATGGCGGTCCATCCTTTCACCTCTCCCGCCCTTTTTTCTTCTCTCCCTCCCTTCCCCCTTCTCGCATCTTTTTGCTTTATTTTTCAAACCGTCCGCGATAACGGCAATCGGAATTAATTTCTTCGAGAGTGAGCAAACGCGCGTTTTAATGGTTTCTCCACATAACGAGAAATCCATTAACGGACGCCATCCCTTTCAGAAGAATTCAGCATCGTCTTTTTGCATCGCTACGGTATTTTTCACCAGTATTCCGATCGCGAGCGTATAAGTATATATAGGATATTTCTTTGGATATTGAATTCCTCTCTTTCATACGTTTATGGAAATTAAAAAAAAAAAAGAACGAATTATAATAAACAATATTTTCTCCTGATTTTTCCGAGAGAAAAAATGACTCTTTAAATTCGTCGAAAATAAGATTCGTAAAGAATCTATAATCGCGAGAGAGTGCGGGATCTTTCAGACAACTCGAATCTATTAACACGCACGTGAGAGTGGAAGCAAAGGGATAAAAATTGATTGCAGGTCCGCGAAAAACAGGCACGCGTGGCAAAACTTTGAAAAAAGAGGTTGAATAAGAGAGAGATTGTTTCGACAAATATACATCTCGAAGAGATCAGCTTGAGGAAGAGTCGGCGGATATGCAGGGCGAAGGGATGAACCAAAGTGCCCTTCTCGCGTTGCGCAGGTGATTCGCTGAGAGATGTCATCCTGAGTCACCACCATTCGGGAAACGAAGATGTGCTGCTCGGGTGATGGTCCAGGTGGTATCGCGTTGACCAGATGCGGCGTCGTATGCGGCCTCGCCGCCCTCGCGGCCCTCAGCGTCGCCCTTCTGGGCCCGACCTGGCTCCATACCGAGGAGAAGCTCGCCCTGCCGAATGTACCGAGAAACTTCGCTAATGTGGTCAGCGTGAGATTCAAGCTCGGGCTCTTCAGAGTCTGCCCGAAGATCGTGAAACCCACTAACTTTACGATTCGTGAGTAACGATCATCTCTTTTTTACAGCGATTCGAAAGTAAAGATAGACGATATAATTGACAAGAACCTGACTCTACAAAGAAAAATTGTACGTTTAGTTTTTATATACAATTAATTCCGTTATGCATATATCTTAGTAGTTATTACTAGTTATTCTAAAGTGGATGGTCGATATGTAAATTAAGTCTTTTTTTTTACGAAGATTACCATGCACAATGGTTATTATTAAAGCTCTTTCAACGAATGTCATGTTATAAAAAATCATTCAGATTGCCGGAGAGCACCTAAGGTGCTTTATAGTTCATTCTCTCGAAATATATATAATTCATTCCTCTATCTCTCCCAGTTTTCTCGACGAAATCTCGCAGCGCGGCAGGTCTCGCGAAGGATTTTCAGGAACGACGAGGAGTAAACGTAAAAACAAATGACAGTGGTTGTAAAGAGAGCATAGGGGAAAGAAAGGGGGAGGAAACTGGGGGGGGGGAGGGGCAAGGAGGATCAAGGGGAAAGAGAATATTCGCGGCGCGGTTACAAGGGTGGTTGCAGCCACCCGGACGATGACAATTCCTTTTTATTTCTTTCTCTCGTCTCGGTCGCTCAGGCTCTCGACTTTTATTTCTCTTCTTCTTCCGCCGCTATTTCTTCGTCCCCGCCGACAAATCCACCACCCCCTCTGTGTCGCGTGACGGAGGTATACTTAAATGTATTCAGCGATCGAGCGATCCATTCTTATTGTTCCGCGTTCTCTATCGGGTTTCGGTTCCTTAAAGGCCACTGGTCGTTATTTATTCACCGTGATGGGCACCATCCATCACGGAGCCGAAGAACGGTTTCGTCCCGGTTTTTTTTAGATTTATTATCAAGACTTATGATGACTTAACCTACTCGTTTAGATTAAGTAAAAATATTCGACCATCTAGAACTTTAGTTTTTATTCCCAACTTTATTTTGCGACGTAAACTTTACAGCCGAAAGAACGTATAATAAAAAAGACATTGTAAAGAACGTTATAATAAATTTTGATGAGTCAAGTTAGTCAACGCTCGATCTTTAAATTGACCCAAAATTCGAAATTAAATTTAAAATTGTTTTATATTAAGTTCTCTCTTTCTACTGATTTAAAGATCTAACAACGAAAGAATTAAAGAAGAGAATTAGAGATAAAAACGGGACTAAGTTTTAATGCGCAAAGATTGAGATAATTCAAATTGAAATTAGACAATAGAAAATCCTCTAAGATTAGATAAGAATTAAACTAAATTTAATCATTTTAAATAAAACATAAATTCAAATAAAATCTTAATGAATCTAAAAGCCAACAAACTGTAAAGAACGAGAGACACAGGTTTTTATCGAGCTATATTAATTTTATTTTTCCCTTTTTTGATTTAGTGACATAATCAATTTTTATTCTTTAAATTTTTCGCATAGGCACATACAATCGGAGTTAGAAATAAACTTATTTAAAAATTATAGAATGATAACGAGGGAATTTAAGCTCTAACGCCTGTTGTTAATTATCGGTTATTTACGTTGGTGTAGTCAAGCGAGAGATTTATTTCGGCGAAACGCAATTATCTGGCTGTATTGGGAAGCTGTACACGCAGCGATTCCATAATGAAGCCGCCATTTGTGCACGCGGTCGCATTATTTGCCGATTAATAAATGATTTTATCCGCGGCGATCCTCCACGCGCGGCTAGTAATTAATATTAAAGCCGGAAATAGCCGCGGAAATCGACTTTCATCGAACTCCCGTTTCATTCGGTGATCTTATGAATGTAGAGATAATCGCCGCGTTTTCGCAGATAGAGCTCTCGATAAATCGCGCATCAAAACAATATTAAAAAACGGTCTTATAAAAACAAACAGTTTTATAGTTCTTTATTCATATTCTAAGATTTTATATTCTTATTAACATCTCCTCAACATTTTCAAATTTAAGCTTTGTACGAGATGATGGCGAAATGATTTCGACGCGTTATATTTCATCATTATAATAATTCGCACATGTTTCGGGAAAGTTTCGGAGATTGACCTCCTTTTGCATTGATCTCCCCCTTCTTTCCCTCCCCGCAAGCCTCGGGATATGTTACGGGGTAGACAGTAACTGAATTAAATTCGAAAGTTTGCTCCCGGAAAACTGTTGGAAAAACTGGTTCCGCAGAAGCAGGTTGGGTCATTTCTGCAAACAACCAGAGCTCAAGGCCATGTCCTCCTCCTTTTCTACTTTTATCTCCATCCTCCCTTCCTCCCCCTGCTTCTCGCCACTGGTAGGGATCGCGCGCGAGTTATTAGCTTAAATGAGCGGTGAGAACAGCAAGGAAATACTTTTAAGCCCGGATGGAGAGAAACGATCTGCGCGGAGACTGGTGATTCAAAGATGGCGGGTGCCTCGTAGCAACCCCTCGTAAATCTTCGCACCCCTTCGGGGCGATTTTTGCGCGCAGAAGACTTCCCCGATAAATGATCTTAACTACAAGAGAAATTTGATTCCCGAAATACGAAGCTGTGACTCATGGCGTTCGTTTCGCACAGCATTTTCGCGTCGCTTTAAAATTTTTAAGAAATTTATAAGATTATAAAAAATAAATCATAAATATTTATTTTAAATACCGTGACTTTTATGTGAATTAAATCATTGTTTTACAATTTTTTCATACACTTCTGATTTCATTATATTAATATTTTCGTTTAAAATTTATTATTCTTTAATCTGCGGGGATTCTCAACCTGCTATTTTAATTTCTGAAGCAAATATTAATTAAAGGTATAGAAAAATATATATAAAATGAAAGAGATATAAATAAATTTATATATTAATTCGTTATTAAAAGGATCTAAAGAGCTTCAATCTGGATATATTATTTTAATTCCAACGAATTTGCGATGGCAAATTTTACTTGATTCCAGCTTAACGTTTAGCGCAATTAATTTACGTTATTTCGTCGCTCTTAAATCCGCAGCTATAGTACATACTTACATAGCGGCTTGTTTCTCCATCGTCCGTAGCTATAATTCACGGTAATTCGTCGGGCTTTATTTTTCGAGACATTCTGAGAAGAGTGGAAGTTGTGAAGCGGGCGCAATCAAGATAGAAAAAAGTCGGCAAACGAGCGACTTTTCCTAGCGGTATTTCGCCGATTCCGCAGGACTAACGAGTCTTTATTATCCTCGTCATCCTGCGGAATTTGTTTCGGAGGCAGCGAACGCGGCTAGAAAGTAGCAGAGTAGTCGTAATTTTCCTCATCTCGGAATCTCAATCGTCGTTTAATTGACTAATGACAATGACGTTGAATTAAGTGATCGCGAAACGATACTCTGATAAGAAAGTTCAATGTCCCTTTAAGCTTTATTGATCAGTGTCATAAAATAAAAGGACAGTTAAATTCCTATAACCGATATTATACATAAAATAGATACCCTTTATATAGATAATATATGTACACATAATATATGACATAATTAATAAATTAATACATTCTAGATACTGAGATATATAATTAGTTATATAATTAATTATATTGAGTAATTAATATATGTATATTACTGTAATTTGCAATATTATTTGACAATAGTTCAAATAATATTACTATCTATGCAATTTGTCTAATTATTACGTGGCATACCGTGTGTCATTTATTTATTGTTACGTTATTATTACATATATTGTTAGTTATATCTTTTTCGTTTCTTAGCGCTAATTAATCGGGAACTTTGTATCAATGGAATCTAAGAAGAATTTGTTTAAATCGACGCGTGTCAATAGTTGAAGCAAGACTCGTTACGCGACGCGGCAATTAATTACTGTCTTCGTAAAACTGCGGGACGCCGACAATTTGTCTTCATTGCCGGCGCGACTTACCGAAGGGTCACGAGGCAAAGAAAAACGGGTGAAAAGTAGGAGGGTATATAAGAAAAGAAGGAAAGAACAGTATAACGTGTAAAATCGAACAAAGAAATTTATTAGGATAAAAATTACAAAGACATAAAAATTTCAAGAGAGAGAATTTTAGAAATATACAAATTTCACGTTCAAACACGGATGTACAACAAATGTAAAATATCACAGATGAAATGAACTGGAACGACGCGTGAATCGAACAACAATTTAATCGTTATAATGTAAAACAAAAAAAAGAGAGAGAGATCCAATGGGGTACTTATTGTGCGCGCAAAGATCTTCATGTAAATCACCTAATCGCGATGCTGCTCGCCAGTTTAAAAAGCAGATTCGGTATAAATCGCCAGGGCCGGAGCATCGTGCGGCACGATAATAAGGTTATTTGTAATTCCAGGACCGGGGGCTGATCAAATCTTCCTAATTTCCTGGATCCGCTCGCTTAAAATTCCGCTCGCAGGACGCGCCCGTTCCTCTCTCGCCATTGTTGCGGAAAGTGTCTGGAATTAGAGAGAAGTCGAAGTCACTTGTAAGGTCTCGAAATAATGATCGGTGCTGTATTAATTTCTAACGCTTTTCGTTGCGCGAATCTAATTGCCTCGAGATACCGGAAATTCGTGAACAATCACTTCGCGCGCAGAATTATTCTCTTTAATATTGCAATCTGTTTATCTCTTTTACATTTATTAGCTTCATTTATTTTATATTGCTTATAATTTATTATATAATTTATATTTTATATTTATTTTATTGGTAAATATTTATCCTTATTTATCCTTACACAGTCAAAAAGCGCTTCTGGTCACATGTTTAAAAAATAAGAAATATTTATCATTTAATTTGTAATAAATCGATTGATTTATTTTATTTAGATCAAAAAGCAGAGTATAAATGAAGAAGCAAAATAAATACGTGGATCGATATAAGCACGGGACTGAGATATATAATGTCATAGAATATAAGAAATAATTAATAATTAGAATAACAAATTAATTTAAAATAATCCGCAATAAATTTTGTGATAATTAGTTTACGTTGTAATTTCGACATGATCAAACTGAGAGCTCGTTCAGGGCGATTAAAACAATGCGGCAAGAAT